TTTTTTTTTTTTTTTTTTTTTTAAGCATTTTGTGTATGTATGTAAAATTTTACGTAAATGAAATAAAAACATATATGAATCTCTCATCCCCACAGCCATGTTAACGTCTTGGTGTAAGTTCTCTATTTTTCTCTATATTCATAAACATTTAGGGCTTTTGATTGTTTGAGTCTTTTTGCTTGTTTGTTTTGAGACCAAGGTCTGCCCAGGCTTGAGGGCACTGGTGTGATCACAGCTCACTGTAGCCTCGATTTGCCAGGTGTAAGCATTCCTCCTGCCTCAGCCTCTCAAGTAGCTGGGACCACAGGTGTGTGCCACCACACCCATCTAATTTTTTTTTTATTTTTATTTTTTAACTTTTTTGTGGAGATGAGATCTTACTTTATTGCCCAGGATGGTCTTGAACTCCTGGGCTCAAGCAATCCTCCTACCTTGGTCTCCAAAAGTGCTAGGATTATAGGAGTGAATCATTGTTCCCGGCCAAACTGAGTCTTTTTAATGGTCAGGTATAGTCCATGGTGAGGATATGTCAAATAATTTAGCTCATCACTGTTTACAGTACAAAACAGTGCTGGAGTAAATTCTAGTACATAATATTTTCATAAAACAGTACATTAGTTTTTATGGGATAAGTTGCTGGAAGCAGAATTTCTGGGTCAGTGGGTATATATACGCATTTTAAATTATAGATATTTTAAATTTAATATGTATGCATTTTAACTTTTGCCTGCTAAAAATGCTGTGATACATTTTTTTTAATTAAAAATCTTAGCATTTTAATTTGGATAATTATTTTTCTTTCTTATTTACTAATGTAAGTTGTTTGAAATTTCCTTTAAATAGTACCATAACTGTATCCCATTATTCTGATACATAGTAATTTACACAGATTCTGACATACTGTATTCTAATTATTCTGTGATCACAGTATTGCCTGTACTGTAATTCCACTTTTAAAATCCATTGATTATTAGTGGTTAATTAGTTGATCAGCTTCTGTAACTATACCGTGGGCATAAAACAAGGTATATTTTCAGGGTATGGAGCTCTTCTGTATGACATATTCATTCATTTATTAAATATGTCTTGTCTGTCTGGTAGGTGAGATTGTCTTCTAGTCTCTGGGAATATAAAGCGTTTGTCTTCATGTAGCCTGCATTTTAATATGAATTAT